TTTATGATATGCCGGCAGTTCAGATGATGACTCTTTACCTCAGGTCGGAAGTTTGTTCGAATTCGCGCGTATATCACCTATCGTGGGAACCGAAAATATAAAAAATCAGCGTTATCCGATTATAACCGTTCGCGGCTGAAAATAATCAGCATGCAAATAAGGTATGGCGCCAGGAAGCAAAAATTTATAAAGAAAATTAATCACTCTTTATTGACTTATATCACACATCATACGCACACGTGGTCTAAATAATTAGAGGTCAGTATGATTCTGCATAATTATACGTAATAACAAGGACACGAAACAATGGAAAAGCTAAGGTTCTCTCAGTCGGCCTATGATTAACGAAGATGGCGAAATGGTCAACGCGACGCAATCAAAGAATTATTACCTGGTTCAATTCTCAACTATGCCCTAATAATCGAATAATTAATTAGCGCTACCTAATCCACTATTAATTACCCTCCGATTAATTGAACATTGACACTAACTTCGGATCAAGCGGAAGGTCAGTACGAGTCAACTAAATCTTAATCTTCCTCGTACCTAAATCTCACGGTGAATTAATATACTGGCTAATAATCTGATCTACTATTAATACTATTAATATTCTGATCACTGATTTTACTCGTCTAATCCTAACACTCGCAATAAACTAATATACTGGCGAAAGGTCAGGGCTAATAATTTAATCACTAAGTTTATTCGTCTAATTCTAACACTCACGACAATTTAAAGTTCTGGCGAAAGGTCAGCGCGAATAATCTAAGCACCGATTTCTTTTACCTGATTCTAACACTCACGTTCGATACCAAGAAATAGCGGAAAGGTTAGCGCGAATCACTCGAAACAATAAGCACCGGCGTCGACGGATCCATGCGTCGCGATGACCTACTGCACCGAGAAATTCACTCCCGCACTCCGCGATTATTACTTATGAGTGGCAATTTGCCTACTTACAGTTTTTCTGCTGAAGATTCGGCGAGCGAACTTAGTGTGGAAAAATGCTAACGCAATCACTCCTTTTGGCTAGAAGAACAGCGGCAAAATGGACGAGAATCGGCTTTTCGCGGTCAAAGATCGCTCTTCTTCTCCTCTTTCCGAGAAGAAATACTATTATTGGTCGATATGCTAATTCGGATATCGGTAGCGCCCTCCGAATACGAGGTGTGATCAAAAAGTAAGGTGAATTTTTATTTTTCTCAAAAAATATTTATTTATTCATTAATTTTTATTTTATCTCCTTCAAAGTAATCTCCCTCGGATATAATGCACTTGTGCCAACGCTTTTTCCAATCCTCAAAGCATTTCAAAAAATCATTTTTTGTGATCTTGTTTAGTTCATCCTTCGATGCCGTCTTTATCTCCTCAATCGTGGCAAAACGCCGTCCTTTCATGGGCCTCTTCAGTTTTGGGAACAAGAAGAAGTCACAGGGGGCCAGATCTGGGGAATACAGTGCCTGTGGCATCGTTACTGTGTTGGTTTTAGCCAAAAATTCGCGCACAAGCAACGATGTGTGAGCAGGGGCGTCATCATGGTGCAAAAGCCAATTTTTATTTTTCCACAAATTCGGACGTTTCTGGCGGATTGCTTCGCGCAAATTGCGCATAACTTGCAGGTAATATTCCTTATTTACTGTTCTACCCTGTGGCAAGAACTCATGATGCACCACGCCCCTGCAGTCAAAGAAAACTGTAAGCAAAACCTTTACATTTGATCGAACTTGGCGTGCTTTTTTTGGTCTTGGTGATCCAGAATGCCTCCACTGGGACGATTGAGTCTTAGTCTCGACGTCATAACCGTATACCCATGTTTCGTCACCTGTTATAACCCTGTTGAGTAAATCTCGATCATCGTTGACGTCATTCAGTAGCTCTTGGGCGATGCTCATGCGATGTTTCTTTTGGTCGAAATTGAGCAATTTCGGAACAAACTTCGCTGACACACGTCTCATGTCTAAAACACTCGTCAAAATTGATTGGCACGAACCAAATGAGATGCCAATATCATCAGCAATTTCTCTAATGGTAATTCGACGATTTCCCAACACTATTTTCTTCACTTCTTCAACATTCTCATCAGTTGTTGATGTGCTGGGGCGTCCAGAACGAGGTTCGTCGTCGGTGTCTTCTCGGCCTTCTTGGAAGAGTTTATACCACTTGTAAACAGTTTTTTGGCTTAAAGTAGACTCACCGTATGCCACTTTCAGCATTTCAAGTGTTTTGGAACATTTGATTCCATTTTTCACACAAAATTTAATGCAAACTCTTTGATCCATGTTTTTAGACAGCAGCAAATCGTGGAGCACGCAAAACACTTCTAACCTTGATGCCTCTCACAAACAAACCAAACATACTACAAAGCTGAAATTTGGAACGTATGTTCTAGACGAGTGTACTGACATAACCAAATAAAAAAGTCGAAGATCGAACGGACGTAGCCCGCTAAATTTCAAAATTCACCTTACTTTTTGATCACATCTCGTATTTCATCATTGGTCCGTATGTAAATTAGAAAGATACAGCGCCCTCCTTGATTCTCCTACTTTCGTCGCTATCTACCTTCTCTCACCCCTCACTAAGTTAGCTAGCATTAATTGATGGGAAAGATGTACCCCTATTTTTATCTATTTTTCTATGAGTACGGAAATCAAATTTTATTCTAATTCGCTTATTGATTGTGACGTCACCAGCGAATTTCGTTAGAAGTTCGAATTTTGTCGGTTAATTTATTAATTAAATTTATAGGAGTATTTGTCGCTCGCTATTATAATAAAGGGTGTGTCGGTCGCATACGACTTTTCATAATTCGGTATTTTTCCATGTTCATTTTTAATTTTAATTTTTATTAGTTGCGAATAATAATATAATTGAAGTCATCTCAATCGCAGCGCTCTCATATTCGCATTTACATATAATTCTATTCATCATTTCGTGTATTTCATATAATCTATCTCGCTCGCTCTTATTTAGTCTACCTTGCTCGCTCTGTCTCGCTCGCTCGCTCTCAGTCTGTCTTGCTTGCTCATGCTCAGTTTGTCTAGGCGCTTAAATATGGCCGCTCGCTCTCTCGCGCTTATACCTTGTGTTACCGTAACGGTCTTAGGATCGTCTCTTGGAGCGCTCCTGTTTCGGTCAGGTGATGTGTTTCCAGGTGTTTGTTAGTGGTTATCGTTGTGAGTGTGTGTGGCGCTCAGGATGTCGCCGATGGTGTTCAGCAGCCCGACACAGCTGATTGCCGGTTACCACTTCATCGGCGATTTTCTGCTCGCCCCAGGTGTGTCAGTATTTCATGAGAGTTGGTGTTAGTGCCTGGGAGTGTAACGGATCTGCATGTGTCATCAACATGCATTTCCGTTGCATTTCCCAGTTAAGTTTCCCGTGTTTCTTTCTCCAGTCGGCAACACGTCGTCGTGAGTAAGTGTGTGCGTGCGCTCTCTTATTTCGTGGTGCGCTCTTTTTTTTTGAGTGTCCGTTGGATCGCGTTCGTCGAGCTTGTTTCGCCAATATCTCCGGTTTTGTTATTCGGACATGAAAAAAATTAAATGTTTATTTTAGGGCGCGTCTGTTTTCGTGTTGTACAACTGGTTACAGGGCGGCAAGGGACGGGAATGGCTTTCCTGAGGTGTTACAAATAATGCAATACTCTCAGGAAAAGCCTTGTAATGTATCGCATTACAGAACCCCCCACTAAGCCGGTACACTACCACATGTACCGCTAGTTTGCTCTGTTCCCTTTTTGTTGCCGCCGCGTCCTCAGTTCTCATCAGTTATACGGAAGTCATACCTGATGGAGTTTTCCCCCTTGATTCCGTGGTCTACTCCAGCACCTGGTTGGTCTGTTTGGCTGTATCCTTCTTTCTCCTTTGGTCCATTAAGTCCATTTGCTGGGTCGGTAAGGGTTGGTCAGGGGAGGTTATTTATTCAAATAAGACACAAGTCAGTCATTTCAAGCCAGGGCTTGGCCCTGGCATTTATTATGCCCAACAACAGAAAAGAAAAGAAAAGAAAAGAACAAAAGATAAAAAAAAAATTTTTTTTTTTTATGGTGGCTCGTTGATGTGCTACTGGTATCCACGCCTGCGGGAGCGATTGTGCCTCTCCATTTCCTCCATCTCCTGGAGTTGTTGAAACTCCCTCAGGCGCAGGTCAACGTCGACCTCGTCATCGGAGGTCCTGTGGTTGTGGGACCTCCGGAGCAGCTCCCTCGCCCGCTCCTCTACCGACGATCTGGTAGATGAAGCGGGGGATCCGGTGCGGGGTATAGCCCCGGTGTTAGCCGTCGGCCTCTCTCTTTCCGGCCTCTCGCGGTAGTGAGCTCGGCCTCGGGTTCGGGTTGCCTCCAGGTAAGACGGTGGAGGGTCCTCCGTCTCCTGAGGGCACGAGCTCAGCTGGGCTGCCTGATCTTGGCGGCGGGGTTCCTGTGCTGGGTTTCGGTTCCGACCGGACCCAGACAAAGTGGACGCTGGTCTGTCCACTTCATCCCATCCACTCGGGCGGCTGGGGGTCGGTCGAGATCTCGGTGGAGAGATGGTGTTCTCCACCGAGTTATTCGAGTCCGAGAGGCCATGTCGGCGGTGGTATGCCTTGGCACACCTCGGGCTGTCGAAAACCTCGACCCCCCGCCGGTCAAAATTTCCGCAGAACTGTCCCTCTTTGGGACGGGGGCAGTTCCCGAAATTGTGGTCGGTTTGCCAGCAGTTGAAACATGCTGGGGGGGGGGGGTCAACTGTCGGGTCGGTCGAGATCTCCCGCAGTTACCCAAACCCAGCTCCGGTCCGGCGAGGGTGTTGACCCCAGGATAGCATCCTAGCCGCAGCAGCTGATCGTGTTGCTGCGCGGCTGGTCGGAGGTCCAGGTAGGTCGTCATCGGATCCCTCGGAGGAGGGATCTCCTGCACCTACCAGGTCGTCCAGCTGCAGGTGGCGCCGCGGATTATATTTGCGGCGCTTGCCGCTGGCCGTCTTGGACCTCTAGACGGTCGACGGGATCCATCCTGGATGTTGTTATTGGCCAGGCGGTGGTGGTCCAGCCAATTGGAGTCGAGGTCACAGGTAACCAGCCTGGGTGACCTCGTCTCCTTGTGGCCGACGGCTGGTGTTGGTGGCGGTTGGTGGTCTGGTGTTGGCGGCGGTTGGTTGTGCGATGGTGATGGCGGTCGGTGGTCGAGCGATGGTGGCGGTGGTGGTTGGTCGGTTGGTGGTGGCAATCGGTGGTCGAGCTATGGTGGCGGTGGTGGTTGGTCGGTTGGTGGTGGCAATCGGTGGTCGAGCTATGGTGGCGGTGGTGGTTGGTGGTCGAGTGATGGTGGTGGTATTTGGCTGGGTGGTGGTGGTGGCGGTGGTTTGCTGGGCGGTGGTAGTGGTTCAACGTCTGACGGACGGCTGGGCGGTGGTGGCGGAGATGGTGGAGGTGGACGGTTTTGTTGTCCCTGGTTGACGGAGTGTGGGAGGCGGAGTTGATGGTCCAGCCGGTTGGGGGTTGATGGTCTCCCCCTTCCCAGCTAGTACCACCTCCGCACCCCTACCCAGGTAGTCCTCCAGCTCTTTCTCCGCTTGCCCGTCTAGTGACAGCTAGGACCCTTTTGAGGTGTCCGAACAATGGGATTTGGAGGTCCTATGTTCGGACAGAGTCTCAGCCGTCACGCCGTCCGTCTGGTCTGCCGCTGCGTTCATCTCCTCCCGGATGGCACAGACTACCTCCATCCGCTGGATTTCTCACACCTCCAGTCCGCCTCAGGAACGCGGGTCTGGAACGTGACGGCCAAGCGAAGGAGGCGCTCCCGTTCTTGGCCCACCGGGAGGGGTTGTGGTGGGCCTTGTTCCGCCACTTCCATAGCCTTCAGACGAGCTTTCTCCTGCTCTATCTCCTCCACCATATCCTGGAGATACCAGACTGACGGATCTTCTGTCGGGTCTGACAGGTTCTGGAGGTTCTGACGGATCGGGGCTCGATGATGGGCTGAGTCCCTACCTTTTCCTGGTATCCAGGCATGGTGGCGAATGCCTGCAGATGAAGGTTCTCCTCGTAGCTGACAGGTTCCAGGGCCTGAGCTGATCTGATCCCCCGCCTCCTGGTCCCCGTGATGGTCCTGGGGACTGTGGACAGCGAGATCTTCACCGTCAGACTCAGGCTCTTCTTTACGACGAGGATCCTTCGAGCCATGGTAGATCTGAAAATAAGTCAGGTTAGTACGAGGATCTTTTTGTCGGTGCCGGGACAGCACAGTGCATGCACTTATCTTCTGGCAGGGCTAGGGGTGTAGTTTAGTCAATGACTACACCCCCCCCCCCACTTAGCCTGGAGAGACTAGCCTGTTCAAGCTTAGGACAGCACATATGGAGGTCAGTCATCGATATCCGCGTAATTATTCCCCACGCCGCAACCTTATTAGTACGCGAGTCAAACCCCATGAGTCGGATAACACAGGGTATGATTAGATTGGTCAGATTATCTATCTTCTATTCCTTTAGTTTGGTCTTTATTCGATCTCAGGTCATAGTTATGTCAGGTCATAGTTTGTCAGAGCTCTTAAATGGTTTTAGTTGTTCAACATGAACTTTACCAACTTTGTTCTTAGTCAGTCTCTCGATGGTGGATACTGTGTTTGAGAGTTTATCTAGCAATTTGAAAGGTCCTTCATATTTTTCACTTATTTGGTCGAGAATTTATTTGCTGCATTCTATAGGTGATGCGTTTTTACCAATACTAGGTCACCGGTTTTATATTCGGTCAATTTTCTCCCTATATTGAATCGGTCAGCCATTTTCTCATGTGTTTTCTCTAGGTTCCTTTTAACCATTTCATGTAGGTCTTTTAATCTTTTCAGCCTTTCAGTCCAATCCTCTGGTTTCAGTGTTAGTTCTAGTTCGGTTGATTCTACTTTTCTCCATAAGCTTCTTATTAGTTTCGGTTGTCTATCATAATTTAGAAATGTTTAATTTAGAAAAGTTTGTTCTTAAATAAATTTCCCATTTTCAGATATATCTCCCCCGTTACACTACATACGCTTGAAGTACATAAGTTGGCGAGACACTAAATTCAAATTATCATATCTCGGTGAAAGAAAAAGATATCTGAACGATTTAAAATTCATTTTGAAGGGAAAGACTCATACTTTAAGATATATTAATTAGTTTGACCGAAAAAAATTATCTTATGATCTTACATAACCTCAAATATGTGTAAGTCGTGTTTTTTGCACTTGAAAAGATTTACAGTGTTTCTTTTGTAATGTTTTTCGTTCTTTCAAATGGGAAACTCAGTTTTTTGGGTCAAATTCCAAAAATTGGCCCAAATCTGGCTCAACTTGAAAATTTCAAATGGAAACTACTGTTGCTTATGGCAGATTTAAATTATGGGGGAAATTACACGTTCAAACGTGATATCAAATTTTACCGAAAAAATTTGTATTTTGGGACTTTCTGAATTTCACAGACTTTGCTTGTTTTTGTTTCTTAATTTTTTTCTATTGTTTATTATAAATATTATGCAAATTTTTTTGAAAAATGATTTTTACGCAGTTTTTCTGGCTCAAAAAATAATTTTATTTTAGTTAAAAATTTTACTGAAAAAACTATAATCAATCAGTTAACAGTTTATTATGATTTCTGTTATTATTATTATTATTATTATATTGTTATTATTAGGAGATGTATTATTATGAATTGTTATTGATTTTCTTATGTTCTTTATCATATTGTATACCTATAATCCATGTATTACATTGATGTACATATGAATATAAAATCTTATCACCAAATAAATAATTTTGTATTTTGACAGCATTAATTATATATATAACAATAATAGTAATAAAAATATTGCAGACACTTTGTTGTTATTCTTTTATTGACCACTGCAAATGCGGAAACCGCGATTGATTAATCATATTGATACTAATATGCGGAAGCAGTGCCGCAATAGTTAACCACTGGATATTTTTGACAATGTTGTTCGGTTTTTGTTATCTTTATAATATTATTTTATTGTGCTCATAAGGAAAAATATAAAAACACGTTTTATGAAAGGTCGAGTTTAGTTTAAAATTGTATTTGTATAACATAACACCTGTATATATTCAGTAAGTGCCAATGCATTTAGATATATAATTTATATAAAAGATTGTTCATAAAATTGTTAAGACTACTTGAAAATAATTAGTTTTACTATCATCGAATATTCTGTGCTTAGAATTTGACTGCGTGACTTTTCAAATCAGACTTTTCACTATTCGTACATATTGGATACTATATATATTTAAAAAATGCCTGTTGATGCAAAAGTTGTAACAACCTTACTTTCAATGACATTTGATCGGAGCAATAATGGCGAACCAAAGTTTTTAATCAGTGACGAAGAAATGCAATTGCACAACATACTGGAGAAAATAATAAGACAGCATGCAGAAAATTCTGATGTTGATGTTCAAGAAGAAACGACATTGTATTTTTGCGATGAAAATGAAATTTATCCAGAAGCTATTGAGTACATGGAAAACGAAGAATCTGAGGATTTTCTAGAAGAATTAAATAATTTATGTGAGCAAGACAAAATTGACTTTAAATATAAAGAAGAAGCAGTAAAGTTTTGGTTGAGTAGAAAAGGTAAGCCTTATTCATTTAATACTGTAAAGCACAAATACAAACAAGTAACTAGCGAGCGACAATTACGACGATGAAAACAGCAAGTTGAAGCAGGAGGCAGTAGATATGATAAATCATTCAAGATATCAGAATATGTTTTTAATAATTTTAATGAAGCTATGATATCGAAGATGACTGTACATGATATTGATTTGAAAAGATGGGCTTTACAAAAAAAAGCTGAAATAGCTATGCCTTTGTTCAAAGCATCGAATTGGTGGATCTGGCAATTTAAAAAAAAACATAATATAGTATCTTGAAAAATCACTAAATTTGTTACAACAGATTCATTGAAAAATATTAATGAAATTGAAAATCAATGTGAAACTTTTAGAGTTGAAATTAAACAATTGCTTACAAGATACGGTGCAAGCAATGTATATAATCCTGATCAGAGCGGATTTAATTTGGAGATTCACAGTGGTAGAACATTAAATTATAGAGGACTGAAAGAAATTCAAAGCATAGCACAATCACTGTCTTCCTTGACATACAGCTACACTATTTAACCTGTTATATCAGCAGAGGGTAATTTGCTTTCACCTTTATTTTTAGTATTGAAAAAAGCAAGTGGAGACTTTGGGCCTCGAGTTAGACATACATTATTTACACCAGTAAAGGTATTAATACGAGCTCCTACATCTGGAAAGCTTTCTAAGCAACTGCTTCAGACGTGGATGCAAGCAGTATTTTTAAAAAATACTGGGAATTCATCGGTCTTACTTTTAGACTCTTGGAGTGGGCAATGTAATAATACCGTACGAGAAGTTGTACCGGAACAAGTAAGTTTAATGGTAATGACAATACCGCCTGACACTACAGGTAAAATTCAGCCTTTGGATGTTTATGGTTTTCGATTCTGGAAGAATTTTGTAAGAAAGCTATCTGATTTTATTATTTTAATGCAATACAATATCAATTTACACGAAAGAAATTTTATCATAAAAATGCAATCCCTCGTACATAATCAGTTATCTTCTCCGAGGTATCATAATACTTTTAAGTATGCATGGTTCAAAAGTGGTTATATTGATAGACCTCCAAAATTTGATAATCCTGTTGAATTTTGCTTTGTCATAAAAGAAGAACCTGTATGTACCTACGAAGATAACATTGCAATTATAATTTGTAGTTGGTGTAAAAAAAAGTTATGCTTCAATCATTTTTTTACAGAAATAATTCTCAAAAATATCAAACATATGTACGGGATAAATAGAAAGTTGTATTTTATATATGTTAATATGTATATGAATGTAATTATTAAAAAAAATAAATAAATAATATTTATAATAAACAAAATATATAATAAAATGTTTTTTATTGCCGCTTTGGGACTCAAAATACAAATTTTTTCGGTAAAATTTGATATCACGTTTGAACATGTAATTTCCCCCATAATTCGAATCTGCCATAAGCAACAGTAGTTTCCATTTGAAATTTTCAAGTTGAGCCAGATTTGGGCCAATTTTTGGAATTGGACCCAAAAAACTGAGTTTCCCATTTGAAAGAACGAAAAACATTACAAAAGAAACACTATAAATCTTTTCAAGTGCAAAAAACACGACTTACACATATTTGAGGTTATGTAAGATCATAAGATAATTTTTTCGGTCAAACTAATTAATATATCTTAAAGTATGAGTCTTTCCCTTCAAAATGAATTTTAAATCGTTCAGATATCTTTTTCTTTCACCGAGATATGATAATTTGAATTTAGTGTCTCGCCAACTTATGTACTTCAAGCGTATGTAGATAATTATAATTGGCAACCCTGTTTTTACCACCTAAATTACCGTATGGGCCGCTACAAAAAAATA